AAAAAAAAAAAAAAAAAAAAATCAAATACAAAAATATGTTCTGGATCTTGGGTATCGATTTTGAGAATGTGCACATCTGTTACATAACTTGATCGTGTCATCTAGTATGACTTAAGATCCAGTTTAACCTTGAAATACAAAATTGAGTTGTGTGGCAGTGCATGTACCTTATTCAATCTAAAAGAAATAGAGTAGCCCAGTGTCTGCACGTGTGTATTCACACACTGCAAGTATTTATTATCAATTAGTGACAAGAAACGATGCCTTCATAAAAACTTTCTTGAGGAAATACTTTAGAAAATGATATTGTGTGAACATGCACATAATTTAGAATCGAACGTCTAAGTTCTTACCTTCTGGATCTTCCATTCATTAGTTTACAGTACATGACTATGGTGCAGGAGAGAACATTAGAAAATGCTGATAAAGTGAGAGCTCACTGGCATAGAGCAGATGTGTAATGCAAATTAATTCATTTTCCCGTCACGAATTTCCAAATCTTTTTTGTTAAAGGTTTGCGGACTCTTCCGAGATATACAATGATATGGTGACTGCAAAGGCTGGGAACCAAAGCATTTGCTCAGATTTTTAGTTTTAACGACACTAAATTCTACCAACGCCCATCATGGCTAAGAGTTCGGAGGTCAAACTGGCAATATTTGGGAGAGCAGGCGTTGGGAAGTCAGGTAAGATTTCTGTGGGGGTCTCTGTAGCGTGTGTGGGAATGTGTCAGCCGCTGCCTCTTGGGATCGCGCAGGTGAGGGGTTGGCATTTCTTCTTCTCATGTGCGGTTCTCATAATTAAAAATCCCTTTCTCGTGGGAACTTTTATGGTACATAACCAACTATTATGTACCGTGTGGCTTATTCCTGATAAAACAGCTTTGTGGATATTGCCCAAGACAATGGTCTTGATATTCTGAGGGATGATGTTAAACAACCTCCAAAGAAATCAGATTGTGGAAATTTAAAAAATATATTCGATGTCAAGTATATGTTGGGTGCTTAATAAATTCTTGTTGAATGAATGTATCTTTACCAGAAAGAGAATGGCATCATCGTCCAATAGTTCTAAAACTAGAAGAGGGCTCTTGAAAATTAGGAGTGCATACTCTCAATGCAAGACAGCTATTGCCAATGCCTCAGGGGTGAATTTAAATCTTGCAATTCTGGCTAACATCAGTAATCAGAGAGGTTTCAATTAGCCTCCTGAGAAAAAGTGCTGAAATCTAGAAGATTCAGCATGGAAGAGTGGAAGTGAAAAATGAACCTAACATCCATTTTGTAAATAATATTTCGATTTCATAATACAAGCGTGCTGCAGGAGATGTTACTAACAGAGTAATGTGGTTTGTCTATTATAAGCCCTGATCTCTCATCATGAGTGGCTTTACACACAGAACTTTTGGGTCTCAGTAAATAGGTATCTTGTGGTGTGTGGGAGGGAAGGAAACCTGTTTAGAAGTGAACTGCATAATCCAATCCACCAGGTAATCCACATGATCTTAAAAGCAGAAAAGCCTTTTAACTCTATGACCAGTCTCTTTCTTCATCACCTCCCTGGCTTAATTTCAGCAGTCATCTGGTCTAAGCCTTCTGTGTTTTTCTTTGCATTTTTTCCAGTGCTCTTTTCTGCCACCGTGCTTTTCTTCTGTGGGCCGCTTGCTTTTGCCTCTGGTGGAATCGGGGCAGGGAAACTAAGTAGCTGCCAGAATTAAGACACTGTTGCCAGCCTGCACAAGGAGCTCAAAGATGGTTAAACGCCACCCCATGCATCACCCTGGTGTTTCCTAATGGCGTGAGAACCTCTTGTGTGGCTGGCAGAAGGAACCAGAGAACGAGGAAGCTCAGAGGGAGTGGCCAGTGAAGGGCAGGCCGTGTGGGAGGCCCCTGCTGCCCCTAATATCTCTCAGCCCTTGTGAGTGTAGATTAGGCCTGGGCCTGGCCATTCATTATTTACTCCCTCAGCAATAAGTGCCGTAAGTAATAAGGGAAGACTTTTTTTTTTAAAGCCTGACACCATTTATTAAAATAAACTCCACACGGTTAAGAAGCCAAATATAAAATTTAAAACTCCTCACAGAACCATTCAGCCCTCTTCCGATCTCTTTCCCATCCTCCCATCCTCAGAGCAAGCTGCTCCCTCATACCTTGCCTTACCCAGCCTGAGCTAGGAGCCCAGCTTCCTACCTCTTTCCTCCGCTTTGACCCAATCAGTTCTGCATTCTCTCCTGCCCAGCTTCCCCTAAGTATATCTGTGTGCACTGTACCATCTTTGTCGTTTCTTCAAACTAATTGAATATTGTCTCTGCCCTTCCTCTCTTGATCTTTCCAAATCTCCTAATTTTTGCATAAAGTATACTAATCTTCCATTGTAACCTTGCTACTGAAATTGCTTTTGCTGAGGTCACCACCACTTAATGCCCAAGAAACTGAATGTATATTTTTCTGGTCTGATCTTCTTAGGCCCCTTGGTGCAATTCAGCACAACCCCTCTTCTTTCCTAAATTGCCCTCTGTGATGGTCAATAACTTGATTGGCTTGGGAGCTGCCCAGAGGATCAGTAAAACACACTTCTGGGTATATCTGGGTGGGTCACGGAGCTGTGCCCCTGGGTACTGTTTCTAGTCCCCAGCCTCCTCTTCTCTGGCACACTTTCCCTGCTGTACTTCCTAGTTGCTATGAACTAAGCACCTTTGCTCTGCCACGCTCTCCTACCATAATGTTTCTGCCTTGGAGCCAGTGGGCCATGAACTCAATGCCCTGAAACCAGAAGCCAAAATCAGCTTCTCCTTTGAGTTGTGGCTGTCAGATAGTTTGCTCAGCAGTGGAAATGTTGACCACTCCCCCTTCCTTCCCAGGGCGTGCTGATAGCACATCTCCTGGCTTTGCAGCTGTCTCTCTACTGCCTTTAAGCAGCTACTTTCATGGGCTGCTCTTGCTGTTATCTCTCAGAAACTGGGGCTTCCAGGGCTCCACATAAGCTTTCATCTTCTCACTCCATGCACACTGTCTGTAAGGGCGCAGCCTCACACCACAAGCCCAAGGCCGTTTGGCTGGGCGTGAAGAACAGCTTCTACAGTTGTTCAGCTTGTCACAGAAGCCCTGACCAATTCTAAAATCCTGACTTGGTAACTGAGTCTTCTTTGCACTGCTTTCTCTTTCCACCTTGCTGTATACATTCCACCACTATTGCTTATTTTCATTTAGGTGAAAACGATCAGGATAGACTTCATGCCTTTAACAATTGACTTTTTGTATACCATCTAAGGACAGATGCTGTTTTTCTTTTCTGGCGTTGGACTGTTCTCTTGAGACCTGCAGCCACACCTCACATTAAAAGTAGCATCTGCTTGACTTATGCATGGGAAATAATTTGAGACCTATTCCCATAGTTCAGTGAAAACAACTTAGCTATCAGTTTCGAAAGTCACCTGTTGCAGTCCTGAGCCCATGTTTATTCTAATTTGTTTATAATTTAGCTATGTCTCATCTTGCTTAGTCATCATTCCACACACTCCTCTTTCTACTGTACAAATGGTACCAGCTTTATAAGCAACTTTGGCTTTTTTAAGTCTGCAAGAAATTGTACTCGCTGGAATAATCTGCAACCCTTAACTTAGATACTTCCCAAGACTGGCCATGAGTTTTCCATGACACCATCTTATTTTTCCCAATCTTCATAGGAAGCACCCCAGGGAGCCAGGTTGAGATTTTGGACTGCTAGAAGCTGAGCTTGACTTGGATTTGTGTCAGTTGTTTCAGAGTCTTTAAGTCTTGCTTGTCCTCTCTAATTTTCTCCACACTCAGTACCAACTTGGTGTGTGGGGTCCGTAAGACTGTATTGCCCATTTGCTAAAAAAGAGAAGAATATTTTGGAGCTTTAGTAACTGTCTGAACTTGACAACTTGTAGCATGTTGCTTCTCAATTTCTTTAGTTATAAAAATTATACAGTAGTGCCTACCTCAGTTATAAGGATTGAATAAGTTAGGACATGCAAATGTTTTAGCATCTGGCCCATAACCGATGCTCAAGTATTAACTTATAATATTTCAAAATATGCTTATTTTAATTTGTAAGTTCTCTAGTGAAAATAGGCAAGCAAAGATATATTCATGTGAGTATTTCAGTGTATAAGTTCAAAACTTTATATCCCTACTCAGCATAATAATCCCCCCTCCTTTTTGAACCCAAAGTTTGGTTAGGGTTTGGCCACTGATGATTGAAGTGATGCTTTTTGTGGCTTATATTTCTTCTTGGAAAAATACCCAGAGGTATGTTAGTATCATCAATAAATTAACCCCGTTAAACCTGAAAATGCTTCTGGTATGTGGCAGCTGACTTTCTAAATCCAGCTAGCTGATAGAGAGGCTCCCTATGTGTAAAACAGAATTTAATACTGAGAAGAGCCCTTTGGGTGACAGGTTGACCAGAGAGTGCGAACGGAGTCCTAATTTAACAATGGGGCAATTACCAAGAAGCATGGATAAAACGTGTGAGGGGTGTGCGTATATCATGTGTATATGGCTGTATTTACGTGGCCTGTTGCAGTGGGCGGATTCTTTCTGTCTAATGTCACCATGCAGCTCTTATTCGAGTAAGCTCGCAGGCTGAGGGACAGCAGGGTGACCACGGTGGACTTGTATGTTACAAAGCATAGGCCAGTTTCCCAGCCCTTCTTCTGCCCTCACATGGATCGGCATTTACCTTCCCTGGCCGAGGGCGAAGCTCTAACAGTGACACGTGCGGCTTCCCTACTTGTGTGCCTCAGCCTGTATTTTGACAGGCTCCAGGTAATTAAAACCATAAGATCTGCCAATAAACCTAGAATGCACACATTTCTATTTACATGCTCCTGTATTGCTATTATTCATATGTGTAGTAAGTGTGGGGAGGGCGGATAGAAAAACAACTGAAATTTTAAGTTCAGCTCCACCGCTGGCATTCTCATTTTAGAACTGAAATACTGTGTGCCATTGCGAATTGAGTAATGTTATCCTCTAATTCAAAAACCAATTGGTGCACTCGACCATGAAGGCTTAAGTTTGTAGACTTGGGTTGCTGGACTATAAATTGGGTACCAAATGCAAACAAGCTTGAGGTATTTTTTTTTCTTGGCACCAAGAAAAATGATTTATTTTTTCTCCTCTTTCTTGTCCTTTTTCTTGTTCGTAACTGCTATTTCCCCTTTCTCAATTGTAAAAATTTTCAATACCCTTTTTTCACTTTCTTTTGATATGAGACAGAGAAAAAAATGGGTTTTAAATATGACTTTCCCAATGTGTACCCAAAACCACTTTAACATGTGTGTGTGTGTACTTTGTAGTGAGGGTATATTTATGAGCTTGCACATATATTAAATAAAAAACAGCAATATCAATAGCATTTGGGGCAGGTAGTTTTCCCTATACTACAGAACTTTTGGTGTTTTAGAACTTTTTCTTTCCTTAAGTAACTATTATACCTGTTCTTTTCCTTCCTTTAGACTTTAAGGTAGGAGTGCTATGCTTCTTGAACATTGTCTTTAAAGAATTTTCAGCAGAAGAAAAAGAAATAGGGGACTTGGGTGTGTGTGAGATCTAATAATCATGTTAATTTTGTGTGTTTTAGTAATGATATAAAGTTGTGCAAGATTTAATTAACCTATTGTATACGTGTGTTTGTTTGATGGTAAAAGCAATTATTT